GAAACCGATTACAAAGAATATTGTAGAATATGTTAAAGAACTCTTTAACATACATAAGTAACTACTTAAAAATGTAAAATCGACAAGACATATCGCTCAAGAGTTAAATGTGAGTCAATCAACGATACAAAAATTCTCTAATTTTTGTATCGTTGATTTTACATTAATTGGTATAGAAAATTTACATTTGGCTCTCCAAATGTAAATTTTCTATACCAATTAATGTTGGTGTTCGTACTAAAAATTATCTGATAGACGTAAAAAAAGTTATTCACTATTTAAGATCTGGTGAGGCGGCTTCAGCTTCTGAGCTTACTATAAAATTGAAGAATCGTTAACGATAATAATGTTTTTATAGAAAAACTTTAAATCTATAGCACTGACAATATTATCTGATTACATTAATAATGAGTGCGTAGCGACTTCTATGTTGATTATCGCATGCCTCTTACTTGTTATACTGTAATTATTTATATAAAAAAAAAACATCTATTAAAAAGAGCAACACACAAGTTTCTTGCTCATTCTTCTTGTGATGAATCTGCATTCCGAATGAGTGGTAGAATCAAAATATGACTATTCAAAAGTGCTTGTAATGAGTTTATTTGAATAAAGATTATTTCTATTTCTATTTCTGAAGCGGCGGCGCTTTTAGGACAAGACACTGGCACGTCGGTGAGTAAGTGGACTGTTCGTCGAGCGCTACATAAAGCAAATATGCGAAGTGTCGAGAAGAAAAAATAAACCTCTTCTTACTAAAAAAATATTAAAGCTAGAGAAAATTTTGCGAAACAATATATTAACTGGACTGGGGTGAAGGTTATTTGGTCGAATGAGACGAAAATTAATAGATACAGCACAAACGGTAGGAAATGGAACTGGAAGAAAGAAGGTGAACCACTACAGGCCAAAAACTTTATACAAACGGTGAAACATGGTGGTGGCAATATTAAATTGTGGGGTTGTATGACAACTTATGGCGTCGGACCTATTTACAAATGGAATATGAATGCAAAAATGTACCACAATATTCTTAAGACACATCTGTTAGAAGCCATTGAAAATATGCCCTACCCACTAAGTGAAATAATATTCCAACATGATAATGACCCGAAACACACATCGAAAATATAAATAAACATCTCAGAGTCCTGATATTAATCCAATCGAAAATTTATGAGCATATTTGAAAAGCATGCTTTTAAATCAATATAAAGCACCACCATCGAACTTAAATATTTTATGGGAACGTGTACTAGAACAGTGGTACTGTGAAAGACTTGTGAAAAGTGTAGAAAACAGGTTGTATGCCGTTAAAAAAGCAAAAGGTCTTTGGACCAAATATTGAAATTCTGAATTCAATATTTTTGTTTCACTGGTGCAAAAGTGAACCAATTGTATTGCGATAATCATAAACCAAAAGTATCTTTAAGCTTATCAGACAATCATAATTAAAGTAATAAATAAATGTAGTTTTTAATACCGTAATTCGTTTATTATTTAACAATTAATCCTACATTTGACTACAACTGACTCAGTTTTGCACCTTACTGTAGGTGTATCTAGTTTTTATATATCTACTTATCTCCGAAATGGCTCCATCGTTAAAAAATAGTATCAATTACTTATTAACATTTTGCTATTATATTAACTGACACCTATATTGAATATAATATAATTTTGCCTGAAACAGTCAAATATTGTCCCATATTGTATTGACTCGAGCTTAGTTCCTGTAGTTCAATGAAGTTATATAAAATAAAAATGAAGTTCAAAATATTATTTGACTGATAAATTAGGTATTATATATTTATAAAATTTACCGGATGACACATTTTGAAGTCGAGAAGTTGGCGCCCTGCAGGTGGTAATGTGTTATTCACATAGTCACAGGCACGAACGGTTCCAATAAGCAACAAAAGTAGTAAGTTACAAACAGGCATTTTCTTGGGCACAATCTATACTTTGTTGCGAAATGGGATTTACCAGGGTTAAATAATATTTTAATGTACCTAGATTAATGCGAAATTAATTATTTAATACGTAAATTATTAGTTGAAAACAATCTGTTTCCGACACTGTTCTTGTTAGATCTATAACCTATGATTAACTAAAATGCATAGATTATAAGTGTTTGTATATATAAGTACCTATATATATTACCATATCAATTACAATGTTGTTGCACCACTTAAACATCTTAGGATAAACACGAAACTAGACTAGGCTAGACATTAAAATGACGGCATACCATGTTAGCCAAGTCTGCCTTCATTTCTTGACAACACTGGAATCAATATGATAGACAGCAATGTAGGTAATGATTGAGTAATCCAGAAATTATTAAGTAAGGCATACGTACGACGACGACGCTGATGGACTCTTGGAATAACTGTAAGTCAACTCCAACAAATAAATAATATCTATACCTAGAGACTAACAGTGACTATCTTAGTATTTACTAATAATACGTACCTGATAGACTGTACTGTGACTTCGAGGAGAATTACGTTTGTAAAAATGTACTTCTAAAATAGGGGATTTTATTTTACCGCTGAAATACTAAGTCATAATTTGTAAATCGCGGCAACTTTTAAGACTGAAACGAAATGTTACTGAAACTGTCACCCACACCATGCGCATGGTATAAAAAAAAGGTTTCTAGTTTTAAAGTTGACGATTCTTCCATACAACTTTGCATCTGTCAATCCCTTTTTTCGCATTAAAATGTAGCCTCCGTACTTTCCCAAGGTTTGAACTATCTGTATATAAAATTTCATTTAGATCAGTTCAGTAGTTTGGCGTGAAAACGCAACAGACAGACCGATAATCGTCTATTGGAATTTATAATTAATAAGGATTAATAAATAAAATAAAATATTTTTGTTCCACGCATTTATCCGTCCCAATTTTTACCCAAGTACCTAGACAAAAAATAGTTTTAAGGTTTTAATATCCACTAGGTGTAGGAACATTGGGCTACTATTATTGCCTAATATTCATTCTCGTGCCTCTTACAGAATGAGTATTTTGTTTTGGAATATGTTTAAATATATTTTGAGAAACACAAATAATTGGAGCGAATTGGCTACATTTAGGTAATATATATAACGTAATATTTACCTCTGATGACTAGTAAATTCACCATATATGTATCAGTATTTGAAAAATGTTAATCAGAATGTTCTGTATAAGTATAAGTATATATAAATAAGTACTGCATTACCTACCTAGTACTGTGTCATTACAGAGACCCATCGATATATTAACTACAACTGAATAATGATAAATGAATGATATAAGAGAAACAACTGCTCTGAATAATGATGGTGTTACTACGAATTAATATCATTTAGACTATACGCTGCACTTTGACGCAGAAAGAATACCGGAAAGAGCAGTACAGGGCCAAGGAACCGGTGCATTTGGCTATTTTGAGGTAACTCGCGATGTGCCCAAGTATACAAAAGCAGAAGTTCTTAATGATATTAGCAAAAGAACTCCTGTTGCTGTTCGATTTTCAGCGGCATTAGAGAGTAAATGTGGCAATGATGTAGTGAGAGGACTAAAAGGTTTCAGGTTGTTAAATTCTATACAAATAAGGAAACTTCGACTTGTCAGGGTCGAATATCCCTATATATACCCTCATATAATATATATGTTTATATGTACGCAGATTCTGTAATGTTCAGTTTATTTACACACTCATTTAAAAAGAACCCACGCAGTAATTTATTTCACCAAACGGCGCGGCGGTTGCGATTTTATTGTATTATGACCCACTGTATTGCATGTAGTATTTTGGACCTTTTCTGACTATGGTAGTCCAAATGGATACAGGAAAATGGATGGTTTCCCAATACACGCTTTTGAATTAAGTAAAGAACATGGAGACAGACAATATGCTATATTTAATTTTAGAACTGAACAAGATCTCGGAAGTTTAACAACAGCTCAAGTAGCAGCAATAACAGATCAAGATCTAGACTACTCTACAAGAGACATCCATACTCACAAAATTTCGCATTTATAATATTAATAAGATTATGTACGTATATGTGTTTATTATTATTATTATTATTTACCGGATGTCGCAGTTTGAAATCTAGAAGTTCGCTCCAACTTCTAGATTTCAAACTGCGACATCCGGTAATAACGTATTATTCACACTTTACCGCAAGCAATTCCAATAAACCATAGAAATAAAGTATAATACACGGTCATTTTGATTCGACAAATAATATTTTATAAGATTTTTTATAAAAATACATTTATGTAACGATAATTCCACCACACGCTCTGCGCCCTGTATTTCTACAGAAGGCAGATAATTTAGTAGTAGCTTATAGGTACACGCTAATGGTCTGGTTTGACATCAGTGACATTAAAAGACCTTGACGTAGGTAAGTTCATTCATACCGGGCCGGGGTGACGACCGCGGGGGCGGTCCCACCCCACCACACTAGGCCCGAAGAAGTCGCGCGCATGTCCCCGCGCGCCTTCCCCAGGGAAGACAGGGGAAGTGGTAGGTTCCAAAGGGAACCCGCAGAGATGGGGCCCGCTGTAGAGAGGCCACTGCCGTCGGAGTCGCGGTTGACTGTTATCGATCCCGCGACTCCGGCATATGGCGTTGGGTGAGGGACATCTTGGAGTTTTTAGTGAGTAGGAGTCTCACAGTACCCGCGGGCTTCCCCCGGGGCCGGCGGGTCTCCATGAGGGATTTTCTCCAAGTAAAAAAAAAAAAGGTAAGTTCATTCATAGATCCAATAGAATGTGGGCTATTGCTTTAATGCTCTCATGTTCAATGGTTCATGTTCATCAAGTTTATCATTTATATCATAATGAATGATGAAACCACCGTCCAGAGAAGGTAAATCATTTTATTAATATAAAAAACTTATAAAGGAAAAAGTCATAGGTTTTATTATTATTATTTATTTAATTTACGCCACTTAGTTTTTACGGGATTTTGTTAGGTATGTATTTCCCATTTTCGTTTTATATATTGGGACCTAAAATTCACTCAAGTAATTTAAGTACCTAATCATATACTGCATAAGTATGTATGTAAATTATAATTCAACTTTATTTTGACCAGTTGTGGTTTCAATTACGCGTTTTCCTAAATTAGTATCAACAAGCGCTAAAAGTCTATACACTCTTTCTTTTACTGGTGAAGTTACGGTTCTTAGTGACGTTGCAATATTTTCAATCAATCTTTGCCTTTGTGCGTCATCACTCAGTATATAATTATAGAAATGATTACAGTGCTCTAAATCTACGGCATTACTGTCCAAAATGACTATTCTATCTGTAGGGCGATTCTCGTCCACGATAGGTACTGGACCGTTAAAAGAATTCGTAAAGTAATTAGGCGCGTCTCCCATATTATCTCCTACAGGTGGAACAGCATCCCGGTTATATGTCATACCTTGTTTTGGTTTGTTTATTTCTATATTGTTATGATTTACTCCTAAGCGATAATTAATAGCGTCCCTATAAAAAAGCGTACGGCTTTTAAATATTGCATCTGCAGGTGCAGAAATTCCAGGAACTAAATTATCTGGTTTGAATGCACTAAGTTCCGATACTTTAAAGAAATTGTCAGCATTTCTATTAAGAACCAAGCGGCCGATCTGTACAGTCAAATAAGTTCCTTTCTTCCAAAGTCTCGTCACGTCAAATGGATTATAATCAATATTTCTTAGATCACTAATCGACATAATGTCCATCTCCAATTTCCATGATGGATAGTTTTTCTGTGCGATATTGTTATACAAATCTCTGTTGAAGTAATCACGATCTCTTCCTGCTATCATCATTGCTTCAGCTGATGTAAGATTTTCCAAACCTTGCTCTGTTCTCAAATTGAATTTCACAAAAAAACGATCTCCTTGTTCGTTATAAACTTCATAACAATGAATTGCAAAATTATCCATTGTCCGATATCCGTTTGGTATACCATAATCGGATAGGGAGTACAAAAAAGAGTGTAGGCCTGATGGTTTCATAGTAATGAAATCCCACTTCATAGTTTCATCTACTAAGTTAGTTTTTGGGTTTCTTCTGAATGCGTGAATAAATTCGCTGAACAAAATGGGATCTTTATATATGTAAACAGGACTAGATAGACACAAAAGATCTAGATTGCCTTCTTTAGTATAAAATTTGGCAGCAATTCCTTTTTGTTCCCTATTGAGATCACTTCCCGCTCTTTCTTCTTGTGTTGGCGAAAGTCTGGCAAACAATGGAGTTTTTTTTCCAATACCATTGAAAACATCAGCCTTTGTATAGCGGGATACATCGTGAGTTACTTGAAAATACCCGAAAGCTACAGCTCCTTTAGCATGGACAATACGTTCTGGTATTTTCTCTCTATTAAAATGCATCATAACATCCATTAAATACTTGTTGTTGATTAGATCTGAATTTATTGTTGTTAAGTCTCGAGCATCTACTGCTCTTCCAGCGCTTGTAGTTAATATTCCAATTGGTTTCTGAAATGTTTAACGGAATATTATTAATATACGTTTATTGCTGATGTACCTCATTATTAATATATATATTATCTATTAATATATATAATAATATGTATTTATCTGGTTGTTACCTATTCACTATACCGGTTTTCAAACGGCTGAAAATATCTTAGTGAAATTTATCATGAAAATAAATTAGTTAGATTGTATAACGAGAACTAAAATAGGCTTACCTTTTGTCTAAAAAATAAGCAGTCGAAATAGCATATAACGACTAGTTAAACAATAGTCGTACATATATGTTATTAAAAGATTATAGGTAGATTTAGGTAAGTACAAGATTGACAACATGACGATAATAAAAAGGTACGGGTTTTTAAATTAAATAATTATGATGCAAGACAGTGGTACGTAGAGACTACACGTTTACAACGAGTACAATGCATATTGCATTGTTTCCAAGTTTTGAATATACTTTGTTTTGGAACGGAACGAACAAACCGACTGACGGTCTACCTAATTGAAAGTAACAACCGTCCTCTAGACATGAACTGAACCACGGACAGAACTTCATGTGACATTAGACGCCTGTAATAGCCGTTATGCGTTGCCTTTCCTGGGGCTTAAAATGTCTTGCAATTTGCCCTTGCCCTGTAATTTTACTGTCATATTTCGTCCTTCAAAACGAGACATAGCTTCAGAGCAGTTTAGTGGCTGAAATATGTAAGACAAGGGTTCATAGATTTTTGTAGGAATGAGATCAAATATTTACCGGGTGGCATCGTTTAAAATCTAGCAGTTGTCTATTAGCTGGTTCTGTTGTAACGTTCTCATATTTATAATCACAAGCATATCCACGAGTTATTAAAATTAACAGTAAACACAACATGTCTCTACAATGTAAACGTTATCAACTATCGTTTAATATTCAAAACTTAACACTATGTTCGTTCGCCAACCTTTTTCAATTATTTACTACTTCCTGGATATACTACCACTCTGCCTATGAACAGTAATATTTATGGTAATAATTGTATACAGGTAACTGAGTCTGTCTGTATGTTGTCGCATATTATTGTAGATGCCTAAACTGTTGAATTTGTATGTCGTTTTAAAGGAATGTACTTAGATTGACAAATAAAATTAGAGTATATGTCATCAATGACGGCTACTGCGATTTCGTGATATCCGTAGTGCTGTTTAAGGAAACTGCAGGTTCCTGTCAAATGGGCCGTCATGTTGAAACCTGGCCTATTAACATGAACACCACATATGTGTCGTAAGTACGTTGCGGGGTGTGGTAACTGCATACACTTCTATTCTTAAACCACCAGGGCCCTTTGTTCCAATTTAAAAGTTTCAATAAATGCTAAGCGAATGAATACCGGCCAAGGGAATTTAATGTAAAGTAATATTGTTGGAAATTTAGAACACACGCGAACAAATTCACGCAAGCCAATCTGTATATCCATTACAAGACGTGTTACAGAATTTACACAATTCTTAGCCTAAGCGTATACTGAGACTCATATCAGACATGCCGTTAAATAACACACGCAAAAAGCAGACACATTATATCTATCATTTATCAACGATAGATTTTTGTGAACAGTCATAATAAAATTGTTTTCATCCTGATTTTAAATAGAAATAATAATTAATAGGAAATAGAAAGTGAATTAATCTTATATAAAATTGCTGCGTACTGGCCATATAGTTTTATACCTACTTCATATTTACATTGTATTTTCTATTACAAATTTTATTACAATTATTAGTATTATCTATTTGTTATCTGTTGTAGTAGTAAATCACGGGATCTTACCACGACAAATTTTTATGGAGTTCCCAATATTTCGGCAGTGTTTCAACCGCCATGATCACGAGTTAAGTCTAAATGAAATTTACAATGAACATAGGTATTGTCATTTTCAGGACGAAGTCACAAGTAGTAGCTAGTACTTGACAATTATTTTTTATAACAAAAGTCCATATCGTCAGTAGGATTCTGTAACTGACTCCAAAGTAACTAAATACTTGCAGCGATTGCTTTAATTAGGTTAGGTAATTTAATTCGATATAGCAAATACATAATATTACATAGTTGTACCACAAACCCATCGGAAGGAATTACCTATACTTTGTAACTACCAGTATCCGCCGCCTGTTACATAACAATTTTTACTCAGTATAGAATATGATAAGCGAGCGTATACAGTCCGTCAGTGCCGGATTTGTCTAGTAGCAAGAGTAGCAAATACTACGGGGGCCCGTTGTATTTGCGCACCTACTCCTCACAGAATATAATAATATAATAGGTAGGTACTGCATAAAATAATAACTAAATAATCGTGAAAAGGTAACAAACAGACACCATTTCGCATTTATAATATTAGTGTGGGTGTTATTATTATTGGATTTAATAATTTAACTTAAGTAGTAAAATTAAGAGGTATTCAGGAGTACTGAAAATTTGTTATCAATATTTATTTATTTCAGGCTACTAACATACATAAGTAATAATAATATGAATACTGAGTTTTACTTCTCACTTCGATTACCTACTAAATACGTAAAGGCAAAATATATTTATAGCGACTGCGCTTAAAATTGCTTTACGTAATGACTAAGCCAGGCATCTTGTTTGCTGATCATCTATCGTAAACGGGGATTCCCAAACCATAATTTGCATAAAACTCGAAAATATACTGATATATAATACGCACGTACGCAGGCAGTGATGCCAGATTGGTTTTCCCCTAAATTTGTGTATTCTTATTTTATTCTGATTGAATGAATTAGAGGGGACAAAAGTCGAGGATTTAGAGAGGTCTGAGGGATTAGAACTGGAAGTTTTAAGGGGTTTTTACATTTTTCATTACATATAAAAAACAAGAACATAACTTTAAAGCAGGGATGTTATGGATATGAAATTTTGGATACGGATAGGTTTCGGATACAGGAATGATTATTATACCGGATACGGATACGGATACGGATATGAAATTATTTCGGATTATCCGTTAGTTTCAGATAATTTCGGTTACGAATAATAATTCTTTAAGGAATTTCTATCGCGGGAAGGTATTGGATGCGAGCAGCGCAGGACCGATCGTCGTGGAGATCTTTGGGGGAGGCCTATGTCCAGCAGTGGACGTCTTTCGGGCTGCGATGATGATGATGATGATGATGAAGGAATTTCTAAAGTAAAATACAAATAGCTAATAAAATGGTTACATAACGTATCTCAATTAGGCTCCGACCCTATCCGATATTGTCCGAAACTTTTATTTCAGATTCGGTTACGGTTACGGATATTTTTTTATATCGGATATCCGATAGTCTCCGTTTTTTTTTTTTCATGGAAGAAAATGGAATGCTGCGCCCGCCTGCGCTAATGGTTTACCTTGGGGGCACCAGTGGAGGATCATAAGATGAACATGAGGTCAGGTCAGTTAGCCTATCGTGACAAGATAGTTTCGGTTATGGTTACGGATCTCCTTAACAACCCTTCTTTAAAGCAGGCTAAAAGGACGTATTGTGGATCAAGCGGTCTTAGAGAACGGGTCTGTTGACCGTTTCGTGAATCCAGTGAGGTTAAAATACTGACTAAAAAGAGATCATCAACATTGCTTTTTTCTTTTGGTGCACCCGTCTGTGCTAATGGTACACGCTGGCGACGCAGCAAACTATGACTATTTTTAGAAAGTACACATTAATGTCTTATTTAACATTTTACACTACTCAAACTTAATTTGACAGATCATAATAAGACATTTGTCAGAGTTTAAATAGTATGCCAATAAAATAATATTTTTTTCATACAACACCCATTGATGGCGATATACAAAAAGTTGTTATATTTGCTTGCTTGCTAGTTTGGTGAAACCAAAGAGTATTTTATTTTTGTGATTAAATTTTCTGGGGCTGGATTCAAAACAACCACTGAACCCTCATTTATATATACATATATATAAGGGTACAAAACAAACCCTTAGCACCTTGTGGATTTAACATAATATTTCTCAATTATAACATATCTAAGTCAATTGTTATTTAAAAAATATTTTTCATCTAATTATATTTGATTATTATTCTACTACTAAATATTCAAGGTTCTTAATATAATTTATTAAAAGAAAAAAAAATCCTTTATATAAAAATATGAATTTCAAATATATTTATTATATTTCAAATAAGTTCTACAGTTATTCAGGTATTTATTTAAAAGTTACAATTATTTTTTAATGCTTAACAGTGTACATTTAAATAAAATATAACTGTGTATCTGATTTTTCACAGCAGTCATAGTTTACAGATAATTAAACAATGTTCTCTAAATTTACTGATACATCAGTTTTTGTAAAGTCCATAACAGCAGCTTCCAATTTATGCCTTTCCTCATCTGTTTTCAGCTTTGACCATTCAGAATCTAAATATGCTCTTTGATGTTTTTGTATGAATTTGAAACTATGTTTTAATGTAGCACCCACATGCAAAGTTTTTAGTCTCATGTCTAATTTTCCAATTTTAGTTATAAATGGTAAGGTGGTTATAATATACTTATGGGGGCCATGTCTCACTCTTATTATTGCTATTCTCGTAACATCATTACAGTATTTAGTAAGGAAACCATTTCTCACAGCTGCAATACCAAAGTCACCATGGAGCTGTTGTAATTTACTCATTACACTTTCATGGAATATTCTTGACTTCAAATAGAGAGGCCTTGAGACAGGAACATCAGGGGCTTCTATTTCCACAGTAATATACCTACAAAATTATTCAATTGTTGTGTTATGAGTTTAATAATAAAAAGGAATAAAAATACAGTCTACCAGGAATGATCAATGTGAACAAGAATATTTTAAAATCCTTGTTATTTAATTGGACATAAATGTCCAATACACTATAGTGTATTTGAAATATGGTCAGTGGAGAAGATAGATAAAGGTAATTAATAGTAAAGTAAGTATTTATATCACTCAACTAAATGTAATACTATTACCTAACTGTGCTGTAAGTATAAAATTATATGTAAAACTATAGTATATTCCTTATACCAGGACTTCAGCTTGCTTGTCAGTAGTAGGCAAACATTTCATATTCACAAATATGTAAATATATGGGGCCATTCATTCCACTTCCAAGTATTAAGACATTCCTCTTGTAACCAGGGGTGCCAGGGAGTATAAATAATTTGATAGAGGTATGATTTCACACTCATACAAGTTTGTATGTGATTTAAAAATCCAGTATAGACATCCAAGTTTAGTCCATATGTTTTTTTACATATTCATGATATACCAAATATCGTTAAGGTTATAAGCAGGGTTGTTAGAGATGTAAAGAAAAAGCTATAAAACTATTTACATTATTAAACAGCATACCTGTTCTTGAACCGTACCATTGTGATGATACAATACTATCAAACTATGAAATAAGTGTTACTGCTTAGATTTTGAGAATTATTATTTGTTTATATTTACATAGATCTAAGCGAATTGGAGGTTAATGGAGAATTTATGCATGAATTTGTATATCTATATTGTTTCTGCTGTTTGCTTACTAATGCTTAAGAAAAAATGATTAAATGACTTAGTTGAGTATTTGAGAAACAGAATTTGAAAAAAACATTCGATATCAACATATAAAAGGGCAAACAAAACCCATGTTACTGTCAGTATCAAATGTCATATCATGACATCACATATCATCTACACAGAGTACCAACTATTAAATCAATAAAAAAGCATAAAAGCTTGCTTTTAACAATAACCTAAACAGTTCACGGATTCTTTTAATAAAGCACAGAGCGTTTGAAAACACAGTATGCCCGATAACATCATTCATTTCCGGTAAAACGATTATATATTGTACACATGTAGGTTATATAATATAAAATTCTATATGAAAATAAAGCGCTATTTGTAATATGGTATGAATAAATATAATGAATTTGTATAACATAATATTTTTTATTAAAACTGTGCTTAAGAATTATTTATTTTTTAAAGGAATTTTCTTTTATTTTTTGATTTACCCGTACATATGTAATCGATTTTTATCGATTCACAGAAATGGAACCATAAATTCGATCTAAAAGTCTGACAGTCGAGTACCTGACTAGTTACAAAAATATGTTAACGACAAACGTCAACAAGAAACTTTAAAACAAACAATAAATAATATTTTTGTTATAAATTGTTATAGCAAAAATAAATAATTATATATATATATATATATATTAAAAAAGAAAATTTAATTATTTATTTTTACCATTGTTTATAGTTTTAAACATAGTCTTTTTGTGTGACGTACAAATGCCAATTTTCTTGTTTACTTATTAGTCTAATTATCAAAGTTTATACAATGAAAAGTTAGTAATAAACGACCCGACATATCAAGGTTATCTCTCTATTTAATACAATACAACTTTTACGTAATTGAACCAATAATCATTTTGTCTCCTATCTTGTAATGAAGGTCATAAGTTTATTACTCTATTTTTTTACTTCTTCCTCATTACAAAAGTTCTGTTCCTAATTGTAAGTTTAAATATACCCATAATATTTATAAGAACACTACAGAATTAATTTTAATTTTATTTCCACACTATCAGCAATATTCATACTTTAAACAATTAAATAAAAGTAATTTTTAAAACAATTTTCATAACTAATAATTTATTATAGTTGTTGTAGTATTTAATTTAAGGTTAAACAAGTAAGTCCTTAATTGGAATTTAAACAAATGAATAACAAGGTATATTTTATTGGCGTTGATGTTGGCTCGGGCAGTGTTCGAGCAGCTCTAGTTGATGATAAAGGACATGTATTGAAGACGTCAGTTAAAGAACTCCAGACATGGAAACCAAAAGTTGATTACTATGAACAATCATCCAATGATGTATGGGATAGCTGTATATTTGTGATAAAGGTAATGTCTAAAATCTGTTTAAATGTGTAGTTATGCTAATACTATAAATTAAGTGAGTTTAATATTTGAATTTATATTTCATTTCAGAATGTCATTGAGGATGTGAGTGCAGCAAACATAAAAGGTATTGGTTTTGATGCTACCTGCTCTTTGGTAGTGTTAGACAAAAATGGTAACCCGGTTGCAGTCAGTAATTCTAATAATAATGAACAAAACATTATCATGTGGATGGACCACAGAGCTCAAGCTGAAGCTGATATTATTAACAAAAAGAATCATGAAATTCTCAAATATGTTGGAGGAAAAGTAAGTTTGGAAATGGAGATACCTAAACTGCTATGGTTAAAAAAGCATCTGCCAACTAAATGGGCCCAGTTTGGACACTTTTTCGACCTTCCAGACTTCTTAACATGGAAAGCAACAGGATCATTAAGTAGATCTTTGTGTTCTCTAGTTTGCAAATGGAACTATGATTGTTCAAGTGTTGGGAAACATGGTTGGAATGTGAGTTATCTATCTGACATTGGTTTAAATGACCTTGCAGAGAATAACTTTGAAAAAATTGGTAATAAAGTGTTGATGCCAGGGGAGAAATGTGGAGGCCTCACAGTGGAAGTAGCACATATTCTTGGTCTAGCAACGGGCACTCCAGTTGCATCTTCTATCATTGATGCTCATGCTGGTGGTCTTGGTATGATAGGTTCACATGGTGAAGGCATAGACAAAAATATGTCTAGTCGTCTGGGGTTGATATGTGGAACATCTACATGTCATATGGCTGTGAATGACAAACCTGTTATAGTTCAAGGCATATGGGGACCATATTTCAGTGCTATGGTTCCAAATATGTGGCTTAATGAAGCCGGTCAAAGTGCCTCTGGAATGTTATTAGACTATATAATATCCAGCCATCCAGCTGGTATCAGACTGCTCAAAATATATAATACAGGAGAGTAAGTATTTTTTTGAAACTTTATGATATATATTTATCTAAATAGATAAATGAATCTTAATAAAGAATATTATTAATTGAATATTTATAATAAAAATACTCTTGTGCCTGAATCTACTTTATATACTGCTGTCACCACTGCGCACAATAAAGCAAAAAAATAATTAATTTCATGGTGCATATCTTTGCTCAACTTTTACATATACTGAAGAATAAATTAATATTAATGTTAAAACATTGATGTTAATACAATTTTTATATATATTTTTCATTGATATAAGTCAATATTACAACTTTATAAGCTTTTGAATTTACTGTATAAGAATATAAAAATAATATTAACTTATTATTATTTTTAGTGTGCGAAATCATCTTAGAGAATTACTTGTAAAGATGGCAAATTTTCAAGGCTTAAATGATGTAAGCCTGCTGACCAAAGAGCTACATGTTTGGCCAGACTTCCATGGAAATAGATCTCCTTTAGCAGACCCTTATATGAGGGGAATGTTAGTTGGATTATCAATAAATGATAGTGAAGAAAATCTAGCTTTGTTATATCTTGCCACATTACAAGGTTTATCGGTAAGATTTTTAATTATTAAGTATATAGCCAGTCTGATAATAAGATGCTAGTGCAGGTTATGCATGATAACAATCTTAGGTCTAAAACTCACATGTGCATGCCAGATTTTACATGAAAATCTAGAAACTCAAATGCCTATATATAACATAATTAATCAACTGTTTTCTTCTTTACAGTATGGTACCAGACATATTATAGATGCCTTGACAAAGGCTGGTTATGAACCATTTAAGTCTTTGCTTATCTGTGGTGGCATCACTAAGGATCCACTTTTTGTCCAGATCCAAGCTGATGCTGTTGGGTTGCCCATATTAAAACCATATGAAAAAGATTCTGTATTAGTTGGTTCTGCCATACTGGGTGCTTGTGCATCTTCATATTTTAATAATATTGAAGATGCTATTCAAAACATGGGTGGTGAAGCAGAAGTTATTCATCCTAATCTAAATATAAAGTCATTCCATAATAAAAAATATTTAGTATTTTTACAAATGTTTCAGGATCAATTAAAATACAGGACTATTATGAATTAGTTACAAGGATCTATGTATCCTAGTTAGTTTGTTTAGCATGCTGAACCCCTAAAATCATGCTCTGAGTAAAAATCTATATGTACTTTTTTTTCATTATTTATAGTTATTAAACATAACAAATTACTATTGTCATTTGTTATGTTTTGTAGAGTTGATGTTGATATGTATTTGTATGTAGGTAACTAAATAGGTACAATTTATAACATTTATTAGTCACAGAAAAGGGACCCACTATTTTGTAAGCTATTTATAAATATATTTTCTGTATATTTTGTATATAGCATATTTAGTAAACACCCATTCATTTCTATGTTATTGAAATTATTAATTCTATACTAAAAGATCTAATTAATTATACAAAAATAATTATATATACAATACCTTAAATAAAAGTACTTATTATAAGACTAATTAATCCTTTGACTTCATACCTACATAACTTATTTGTTTGTAAACCAATTAGAATAAAATAATAAATTTGAAGTAAAGCTTAGTATTACACTTGAGTGCACTAAAACTGCACTCTAATCTATTAAGCCACTTCTGAGATTATTCACAGGCAAAAAGACGGAAATTCATTGTTTTGGATTCCAATCTTTTTGGTATATTTACTTTACTCTTTGGTTCCAATGTTTTTCTTGTATACTATACCTGCGGTCTCATGTATAGATTAGGGCTGTATCAACTCAAGTTGAATTCTCCCTAACTCGAGTTTGGGCTGGCGAATAAACGATTTAAGCGAAACCACGATTAGTTGTGTAGAATATTTAATATCAACCAATCAATAATAAATGTCAGTTTACAAGAAAATATTTTTAGTTTTTTCTACTAGTTCAGTATTTACATTTTACTGAATGTTTCACTTTTTTCTTGTTAATGATATAAACAATATTGTAAATGAACAAAAGTTCTTATTGCAACCATTGTTTGAGGCAACGAATAAACAAAGTTAGCAAAAGTATTAACGTATAATATAATATCATTGTGATGGATGATTAAACTACAAATAGTAACCGCAACTATACTCAAAGATAAACAAAGCGGTAGTTAATCCAACCACGGACGGCTAGTGATTCCAAAATCAGTAGGAATAAATAATCGATGAGTGTATTGTACTTAATTAAAAATACAATAATGTGGCAAACAATAATTTAAGTTTGACATATTATGTAAAAGAATACTGAAATGTATAACTTAATTTTAAATCGATTTCATATAGTTTATCATAAAACATTATTTGTAACAGAAAATATTTTATGGTTAATCCGAAATCACAGACCTATCGATTTTAATTTGTTACGACTAACTAATATAACAGTTATTTACATTACAAAAATATTTATATTCTATACTGCTGTAAACTCCCATAGACACTATTTGCAAATCATTATATACAAAACAAACAGCAAATTACATTTTTGTACAATTTTTGTACGTGCATTGGCGACTAAAAATGGTTACCACAGAATATATAATATTACCGGCTTTCACATTGAATGAAGCTACATTTTATATATTGTAACTGGTAACATTTTTCGTTGTATCTACTTGACGGGCTTGACGGGCGGAATCGGTCATTTAACTCGTGTTAAGATAACTTCAAAAATATATATTTCTATTACTTAACAAAATGATTACCTATATTCTCTATAGTTTACATTTAATTTTGTGTATTAATAAAGTTAGAAATTAACATTAAATTTCCAGATTGTCAATATTGACAAGCAGGTATATAATCCAATCAAGTTTACGTTACATGTTCTTCTATACACAACGTCATTGCGAGAATAGTCTACTGAAATTGTTTGGATTATTTTAATCAATAGCTTGTAACATTTTAACATAAAAGAAAAACCTTTTATAATTCATGCAGCATTTTGTATACTTTTAGGCTACAATGTCTAAACGTGGTGCAGAAGATAGCGGCAACGGCAGCAGCCAGCCTCCGATCAAAAAAGTCCATTTTGAACCACATCTTATTGGTCCCGTATCCACTCTTGAGGAAATGGATATAAAAGTCTTACAGTTCCAAAATAAAAAATTGGCACAGGTGATTTGTCTACAATTAGATACATTATATTGTTCATGTACTTATCGTTGATAATCAATAGTAGATACAATAACATGTATGTCATAATCAGCTGTTTGTCAACTCTTATGATCAAGGACATCAGATACACATTTAATTAGTTAAACATTGGAAATGTATGTGCATTTTTACAGTAATATTGTTGTAATCATGTATGTTATCTGTAATATTTGCAACAGTACAATCCATATCCATTAACATGTGGAATGGAGTGAAATGAGGTCAAAATAAAATTGATCTTAATATGTATTATACACAGAAACAGACAAATGTGAATATGGCATGCTTTTTAAGTTATGTTATTTACATTTTAAAGAAAGTTAGAACTAATTGTATGTATATTATGTATACATATACCATCTCTTGTATTATTACCTGAATTCATTTTGTTTAGGCTAGATTACAGTGAATAGCATCTTTGAACTATATTATTTGAACCAACTTTTTGCATAATTGTGTAACAAACATTACACTAACATATAATATTAGAGCAAAAGACTGAGACAGCTTGAGAAGAGAGATTTAATTTGAGATTAATGTTGTATATAATAATATTAAAGTCATGCAATGCATTCATAAAGAAATAGTATAATTAGCAATTTACCTTCATGAACTGTTAATCCGGATGGGATTGTCAGAAACATTATCATATGTATATGTCACAGTGAATCCAAGTCTTCATATTTTGCTGTGTATATTATTGAATCCAACATAGTAACGAGTGAACCTAATAGATATACTCATATAGATATTATGGATATATACATAGTAAAGAATGAACCTAAAAACTTATGGCAGAGTAGGTTTACTCTTTACTCTGTTGGATAAGCTTTGCTGTTGGTGTTATAATCACTGGAGAGTCAGTCAGGAGTATAAATTGTTACAAAGATTTTGATGAATTCAAGTTGTGATGGTCAGATATAGCTATAGTTACATATATTAAAGGTTAATTTCTTTTTTAGAGAATAGAGCAACGACACAGATGTGAAGCAGAGTTGAGGGCAAGAATAGAGCAACTAGAAAAAAGGCAAACTCAAGATGATGCTGTGCTGTGTGTTGTGAACCGTTATTGGAATCTTCTAAATGAGGACATCAGAGTGCTGTTACAGCGTTTTGATGCAGAAACTGCTGATGAATCAGAGAACAAAAGTAATTCTTTATTAATATTAACAAATACTTTCTGTAATGCATGATTATTAGGTTATCTAAACATGAGCATATATTTATTGGCCTTCATTATTCATTTTAAATTACAGCATAGAATGGGTATTCATTTTAAATACTGTAATTTAAGGACTTGAATGCCTAGGACTAGGATTAATTTGTTAAATTACTAACTTTGCTATTATTTATTCATTTGTCTAAAGTATCCCAGAATGTTCTTTGTATGTTTCTTATAATTCAAACTCCTACAATCTATACACATTATAAAAAGTATACTGTTTGACTTTGATTTTTAATTTCTTAGAATTTTATGTAAATTGATAAGTAATTAGTATGTATATAAATAAACAATGTATTAATAATTTGAAACTCAAATTACAATGTTTTGTTGGCCTAGATCAAACAAATAAAAATGTAACTTACTAAAATGTTTTGTTTACCTGTCTTTCAGATGAAAATGAGGCGACTACTTCATTCTTAATGCAGTTATCAACATGGGACAAAGAAGAGTTGGATGCTCAGCTTGCAAACCGAGTTCAAGTGAGCAAGCGGGCTGTAGCCAAAGTATTACAAGCTTTTGATAGACTCCAGCAAAGGAACGACAAGATATGGAAGGCAATAAAAGGAGAAGGGGAAGGTAAGTGTGTTTTTTTAATGTTATTTAGAATGATAATAAGCTTATAACCTATAAAATAGGTAATTGATAACTTGGTAAATATGAAGAATGACACAAACATTGACAATATATATGAATAAAATTGGCAATGGAGGGAGTGTAGAATAGTGGTGCCACAGAGTATCCTCTTTTTCAAAGCAGTCATTTCTTTTTGTACAGTTTAGTGCTTGTGAATGAATTTCACCAGATATGTTAGATACTGTCTGAGCTCATGAATAATCTGTATAACTCTTTTGTTTGTAAATAGATTACAATAAAGCACTATACTTGGTCCACACTGAAATCAATTATACTGTTTCTTAGATTAAGACTAAAAACTTTATTATAATACTTTCTGGGTTCTAAGAGGTAATAAAGCCTGCAAAAATAGTTTTCTCATTTATTTCGTATACAGACAACAATCAGTTACATTGTTATTTATATTTTAAAATGCTATGTCCAGTGTTAGTGTTCCATGCTTCGTCTGTAAAAAAAAAGCAATAATTTTTATAAATAATTTTTGTTTGTAATACATTATAATGGAATGAATTTTAAAAGAACCTACCTTCGCTAACTGCCGGGGCACTAGTGTAAGATGGTAAACTGCATGCAGGCCAAACTGACATTGTACTTGGTTAATTGATCCATATTACTAACAATCCCATTCCTCTTACACACAGACGGTTTGCCGCCTCCAGCGTTGGAGGCTGTGGTGTTGGCTGCCAATGAAGAGGTGACATCGGAAAATCGGAAGCTGCAAGCGCAGAGCACTACGTTGCACGAGACGCACCATGCTATGACCCTGCGCGTCGCCCAGCTCCAGGACGCTGTCAACAGCCGCGACACAGAGAACGCTGAGCTAAAGAATCAGATTGATGATCTGCAGTATGAACTTATGAAAGTAATTATTTGTTCATTTACATGTTTCACCTTTGTTATATAGTAGTACCATTATTGAACTAATGGTAAAGAAACTGCCCACATAATGGTAACCATCCATCATCCTTCACTATCACAATATCATGTGACACTTGGGATACCATTCATGAATTACCTTTCCGAAGAATTGTGATGTCATTCCTCTTATCCACTAATTTTACTGTCTATTTGCACCCTATAATTGACACAGGACCTGTAAAGACAGTAACAATCTACCTCAATTTTGGGTTATCTATGTGTGCATATGTTCATTGTCTGGTTTCTGTATATTAAACATCATATACTTATTCATTACTCATTTCATATTTGCTTTTGATCACAATTTTTAATAAAACACTACCTAGTTATTTATTCTTGTTAAAAGCAGAAAATGATTTTATACCCAAATACAAACTTCAGTCAACTCACCTATTCAATGATCAAACTATAAAGTTGGGAATGATATTGTGCATATTACTAGGTGCGGTCTCGGAATGATAAACTGGAGAACCACCTGGCCGAAGCCATCGAGAAGCTGAAGAGCTACCACCAGTCGGGCGCGAGCTCGTCGAGTGGTGCGGGGGCTGCGGGCGGTGCGGGGGCCGCGGGGGCGGGGACGCCGCTGACGGCCGTGGCGGCCGCCAAGCTCGAGGACGTGGCGGCCGAGCTCGAGGAGCAGCGGGAGCTCGCCAACAACCGCCTGGCCGAGCTCGACAGGCTGCACCGCCAGCACAGGGACACGCTCAAGGAGGTCGAGAAACTCAAGATGGACGTGAGTACTGTTCGCGATTTACACTACCAACTGTTCGAAAGAGAAAAAATGTTGGTTTGTAGCTTAATACTTTAAAAATTTGTATTTTTACGGAGACGACAAAAATGTATAATACGACGACAGTAATCGAAACACTAGTATATGTACGTAAATTTTAAAATTCGTAGTGGAAATCTTATTTAAAGCTTTAAAACTAATACGGTAAAATAAAACTTTCTGATCAAACAAATCGGTATCGCAGGTACACCATTAGAAAATTGACATTTACATCTGTCAATTTAGTCTCCGGGATTAAAAAACAGACTATAGATATAACAAAAGAGTTTTGGTAAAACACCTGGAAGCAAGTTATGTACTTCGCAAGCTTAATGAATTTGGTATCATTGGTAATGGGGACAAGAGGCCTCACACACACAGCAATGCTACAGCGCATCTATTTCTCTTCATTTAGTATTATAATTTAATTTTAGTAGCAAGTTCTTATTTTTCACATGATTATTGAATGAATTAATATAATTATTTAAATAATATTAAATTAATTTTTTGTATTTATTTTACATATTATTGAATCATTATGAGAACTTAACCCATCCATATATAAAAAAATACTTCTTCACAGATCCGGCAGCTACCGGAATCAATAATAGTGGAGACAACAGAGTACAAATGTCTACAAAGCCAGTTCTCAGTGCTATACAATGAGTCCATGCAGATGAAAACAGCGCTCGACGAGACTCGACTACAGTTGCAAAATGCCAAAAACCTGCATTTAAGACAGATTGAAATGATGGAGGTTTGTTTTTTGTGCCTTAATTTTTTTATATGTTTGGCATTACAGTGGAATAAACTCAAAAAACACATTTCATGAGTGTCATTGTGTAGCGATTTACTTACGGACTTAGACTGAACCGTAATTTTGAATTTGTCCGAGACGAAAAATATTATCTCTGCAGTGATGGGTGCACGGATAATAAACCAAATTAATCCATGACAGCTGTAGGCTCCCCTTCTACATTTGATTCAAATGTATAATCGACTTTTGTGGATCTCAATTGTTGACTGACAATGTTGAAGTATTTTATTTTATATATACTTAGCTACAATATCAGGTAGTAGTATATGCTATATTTTACACAGGTGGCAATGGTACTACCATTGCCAGCTTAACAGCTATTTGGAAAATGTGAAGTAATCTTATACTTTTGCTTGTGCTTTAGAGTGAAGAGCTATCGAGACAAAAGGCGTTACGCGCCGAGATGATACAATTGGAAGATGTGTTAGGTCAATTGAGGAAGGAGTATGAAATGTTACGTATAGAGTTTGAGCAGAACTTAGCTGCGAATGAGCAGACGGGCCCCATCAACAGGGAGATGAGGCACCTAATCACTTCACTGCAGAACCATAACCAACAGCTGAAGGGAGAAGTGCACAGGTACAAGAGGAAATATAAAGATTCAAGTCAAGAATTAAATAAGGTAATATTTTCTTCATAAATTTTCTTCATTTAATCGTCTTTGTTTTTTACTATTATTATAGAATAGAATAGAAAAACTTTTACTCAAATTAATTTAATTTAAACACTTTTAAATTGTCATAGTTATTTATTTTTATCTACCGCTCATTCGGAAATCTGTTTCATCATAAGAAGAACGAGAAAGAAATTTGCATGTTGCTCTTTTTAAAATTTGTATTCCTATTGTAACTTAATGTACTAGATAAATAATATTTATTTATAATGGAACAGTCACAACTGTAATATTTTTTTTTAATAATATAGGATAATAATGAAAAGATAAAATTTTCTACTTTCTAAAGATGTAAGGTATATATAAAATAAATGATAATAATAATTGGATATATAAATTAAATAGACAGGAATATGGATTAATAAAAGAAAAATATCTTTATTACACTCTTATGATATGTCAAATGTACCTTTTAAATTTATTATTTATTATCCATATTAATTTGGATTAATATTAAAATAACAACTACGAGATATTCTTCTCAGGTATATTATTTCTGTCTTGTTTCTGGAGCAGGCACGTAAGGAACTGGAGGAAGCGACCACCGTGGCCTCGCGCGGCGGCGACGCTCCCGATGACAAGCCTCTCGCCGTCAAGAAGGAGGAACCCGACCCCGAGGTACCCAAACAAGCCCATCTCATATGTACACTCTTGATATTACAGTTTTAGGTGAATAATGTTATTAATATTAAAAACGCAAAAGTTTATGAGTATGGATGAATGTTTGTTACTCTTTCACGCAAAAACTACTGAACGGATTTTGACGAAACTTTACAGTAATATAGCTTATACATCAGAATAACGTTATAGGCTATAAATTTCGCTCGATTGAAACCGCGGGCAGAGCTAGTTATATAATAATAATAATATATATATTCAACATCTTTTATAGCCTCGTTGGTCTAGCGGTTTTCTTTCCATGGTGGCGGGTTCGATTTCGCGCGCGATGTTCAGATTTGTATTCATTTGTCTGGGTGTTTTCTATGTATATATTTAGAAAAAAATGTATTTAAGTATTTCTATCAGTTCTCAAAGCTAAACATAGCTTGGTTATGAGTATTATTGTTACTTGAGTATTATTATTATTAACTTGTAATTATATATAACTTAACTTGTAACTATGTAATTATTTATATTGTGCAGCATGGTGATGAAGGCGCCAGCAGCACGGGCCCTGACGTAAAGCCACCAATCACTAAGGAGCACAACCGCGTCAAGTTGCAGGAACAGGAGCTCATCATCAAGGACCTCAAGCAACAGCTCAAGTAACCACCTACTTGCCACTTATTTCACTGCCTGTCTGCCAGTTGGCTCATCGTTTGAGTGATGGAATATTTATTGATAATAAGGGCCATCAAATTGTTACGTTACATGTTGAGGGGGAGACAGGGGCTTACCCATGTCCCAAAGTCCTACATGTTCTAATGTCACATTATCAAATGTAATCTTCTATCTGTATAAAAATGAATTGCTCTTCGTTAGTCCCGCTAAAACTCGAGAACGGTTGAACCAATTTGGCTAATTTGTTGTCTTGAAATATTCGTGGAAGTCTAGGGAAGGTTTAAACGGTGATAAAATATGAAGAAATTGTATAAAAAATAATAAAAATAATTATTTTATTTTCCCATACAACAAGGTCAGATTCCCATCAGGGTTTAGAAATTAATTGCGAAACTAAACTTGAAAAAACCTTTGGCATATTTAATTTTGAGGAGGTTTTCAGACGGAGTTCGCGGGTTCAGCTAATATCTAAATATTAAAACACAAGATTTGAACTATTAATGACAAAGTAAACCAGTAGAATGTTTTTAACATTTCCAATTTCTTCTACTGGTTTACAAGTGTATTGCAAAATATGTGAAGTCAAGATATTTATTTAATATTAAATGTATTATCAGGAAGGCAGTTAACGAGCAGAAAGAACTAAAACTACTGCTCGACATGTACAAGGGAGTCAGTAAAGAGCAGCGTGATAAAGTTCAACTGATGGCTGCTGAGAGGAAGGCCCGCCAAGAACTCGAAGACCATCGCCAGAAGGCCAAAATGGCGCAGGTAGAAATATTATGCATTTCACAATATGGTAATCAGTAATACAGATATTCTTATACGTTTCTGCTTCGCCATTTTTCTTAGCAGTACAAGAAGTAAGTTCAATTGTTAAAAAATAGAATTCATTATTCTTTTATACCAGTTTTAGTGAAGTGAATTTAGAAATTATATTAACAGAACAATAAACCTTCATAAAATGTGCCTGTTTTAATGTAGCTTAAGTTAGTTATGATTTATGAACGAATTCAGTGTATATATATAATATCGCTATGTATATTATATATACACTATGACGCGTATAATACTCCTCCTTCGTTACTATTATTGAGTTCTCAATAGTTACACTTCAGTATTAACAAAATTATTGTACATACTTCAAACCGAAACATATTTTCTAATAAGTAGAAATAGTGTTCTTAAATATTAATGAGTTGTTATATTAATAATGGTGTTGCAGGAGAGTAAGCGTGAACGCCGCGTGGCGGATGAGGATGCCCTGCGGAAGATCAAGCAGTTAGAAGAACAGAAGTACGAATTGCAAAAACAGCTGTCCTGTGCCAGACCCAACGCGGACCCGCTGCACGCGTTCTCCAGGCCATTCGCAGGCTCGCAAGTAATACACACTATATGTATTCTGATATATTATTTATAAAAAATAGGTTAAATAGATAACGTAACGGTTAGCAACGCTTACTTTTAACATCAGGTGTTTGAGGCGTACATAGGTTACGGTAAGCGTTTACCATCGGTTGTGCCGTATGCATCGTTACCATCATCATAGTAAAAAAAAATAAAAAAGAAGATTAATAAAACTAGTAAGATGGCTTTATTGTATTTATTGTTATTGGAAAAATATGCTAGACATATATTTATATATATACTTATATAAATGAACTGGTAATTCCTCTCTAAAATTATGTACCTCTTTTCTATTAAGGAAGAAGAAGCGTTGCTAAATGAAATGGAAGTGACCGGTCAGGCTTTTGAAGACATGCAGGAGCAAAACTCGCGGCTGATTCAGCAGCTTCGAGAAAAGGACGACGCCAATTTCAAACTTATGTCTGAGAGAATAAAAGCCAACTCATTACACAAACTGCTGCGTGAGGAGAAACAACTCTTGCAAGAACAGGTAGAAATTTTGTGTTTTCTTAACATCATTAAAGAATTTAATACTAGAAATAATTTAATTGAGAAAAATCGCCTACCGAAAACAAATTTAAATTTATACAAAGTTCATTATTTTAAACTGTATGAATTATTATAATAGAAAAAGATTACACTAAAAATTATATTACTTTTCATATAATTTTTATACATACAGTTATGATATGTATGGACTGTGTTTACGTTATGAATTCTATATAGTATAATAATAATAATAACCTAGGACAATTCATACAGCACCACAGTAGCACAGTAACTTTGAACTAGATGTCAAAATTAAGCAGAGCTTTTATTCTGAGTACTGATACAAATACTTAGCTACTACATTTTTTTTAAATACATACATAATGTACAAAGAAAACACTCAAACTGATACAATCAGTCATTCTCATGGATACAAATGTTTGTACCGTGCGAGGAATCGAACCCACGTCTATCAGAAATAAAGCGGTGTGCGTATTAGCATGGAGACCGTCAGTGAGAGATGTCGAAAATGGAGAGTGATTGTAGGTAGTGACACGAGACCAGCAAATCGAGTCCATGGGGGCTGTCGCTCGGCGGCTGGAGGAAAAGGAACGACTGCTGCAGACGACGCTGTCGGCTGTCGAGAAAGAGCTGGTGCTGCGGCAGCAGGCCATGGAGATGCACAAAAGGAAGGCCATCGAGTCTGCGCAGTCTGCTGCGGATCTTAAACTGCATCTTGGTATGTATTTTTATAGAGTAACAAACGACTTCTGCCGGCTCTCCAACGGTGCACTACGCAATATCGCATTCGCATAATACAATGACGCGTGTATTATACATATAAATCTTCCTCTTGAATGACTATTTATTTCTAAAAACTGAATTATTATAAAATCCGTAATTATAAGCGAATAGAGAACGGCGGCAATTTGTTTTATATTATGTAAAAAGATGTAATAAAGATCTATTATCCACATCTTCATCTGCTTTTTTCGATATAAATGACACATGAAATTAATTAAAGGCAGTCTGTTGTTTAGTCGAGGCAGGTACCAGATAGGGAACACACTTTAGCATTTATAATATTAGTATGGATGCGCATATAATAATAATAATAATCTCAGGACAATTCACACGGCAATTCCATCTAGACCCAAGTTAAGCTAGCTAAAGCTTGTGTTATGGGTACTAGATAACTGATACAAATACGTAGATAATTTTTTTTTTTCGTAAATACACACATACATATAATATATAGAAAATACCCAGACCGACACACACAATCGTAATCATGAATCCAAATGTTTTGCCGTGCGAGGAATCGAACCCGCGACCATCGTTAGTAAGGCGGTGTGTTAAACCGCTAGACCACCGAGGCCGTCAATATCTGTTTACAAGGTGTAAAGTTGCATTTTAAGTTTTAAAAAGACATTCAATTAGATTGTTTTTTGAGTCCATACCTTACAAGGTAGTATTTAGTAGTAGTATTTGGTGTAGTAAGATATTTTGTGTTAAAACGAAATCTCTAAAAATGAAATGTGAAACGAAACGTCTTCGTTTTATTACATGAATTGAAAGAAATTAATTTAATTTAGTTTGATAATAATGTTTTTCATCATCAGAGAAAGAATAAAATGGGCACATATGCTAGATGACACACTTATATTAAGTTACATATTTTTTATTACTTATATTTGTCAACTTATTCTATCCACAGAAAAATATCATGCACAGATGAAAGAAGCGCAACAGGTTGTTGCAGAAAAGACGAGCGCCCTGGAAGCGGAGGCGTACAAGACGAAGAGACTACACGTGAGTTTTAACGCCTGCTTATATTATTGATTTCAAACAAACATAATATTTTAATTTATTAATCTATCAACCTAACTATTCAAACTCATGTTGTCACATAAATACATCACAACTAAAACAAATTAATATGTTAAAGAATGTTTTTTTTGTACTATGGTGATGGATACTGCTTTTCTGATGGTAAACGGTTACCAAAGCCTACTTTCAACAAATTACCAGAGATATACTTCGTATAAAGTTGGTGACAGAGGAACCAATTTCAGCCAGCCACAAAGCAGGTTCTTTTGAAACACTGCTTGTATTGTTTGTAGTGTAAAATACGATAGTGAAATTAGGTTACCGTGTCCTAACACACGTTCCTCCGGAATAGTAACGTGAGAGGGGTCTGTGGCTTTTTTTTATGTAGGCTACAGTTACCAGATGGACCGTCAGCATGTTTACTAAAAAAGTAATGATTACCTTTTTACTACGATTGAGCAATCGTAGTAATATATATTAAACAACACCATTTAAATATCCACTAAAATTTGTTTTGCCTATATTCTACAGGAGGAACTTGCCATGTTGAGGCGTAAAGCAGAGAGGATGAAGAAAATGGAGCAAGCCGGTAGCAGCATGGATGAGGTGCTCCTTGAGGAGATCAAAGAGTACAAGGAGACTCTCACCTGTCCATCGTGCAAAGTGAGTTTTTGGAATATCGATTGGAGGGTCATGGATTTTTCTGTATGTCATACATGAGAGGTTATGTTATAAATTTTTATACAAAATGTTTTATCGAAATTTTTATTTTTCAACGAATGGTAAAAAATTTAAGGCAATATTATTACTTACATCAAAATACATATGTTTGCAGGTGAAACGAAAGGATGCAGTGCTAACGAAATGCTTCCACGTGTTCTGTTGGGATTGTCTCCGCACTCGGTACGAGACGCGCCAGCGGAAGTGTCCCAAGTGCAACGCTGCCTTCGGGGCTAATGACTACCATCGCCTCTACCTCTCCACCTAGACTGTGATCACACGCGCCTGTCTATCTACACGCGGACACCCTCGTTTCGGTGTCGGTACTGTTAATAATTTCACTAGATACGTGTATTTAATTGGTTGCAGCCAGTACACCAAATGTATCAAATTATTACTAAGATCTAGAAGAGTTCAGAAATGGTCTCATTACTACTCGGCACCTACACGAATTTATTATTATTCCACAGCTATTGTTATAAATAAATGTGAAATCGAAATAATATCATTGTCACGTCAAACATAGTTTGACAAAGATATCGATGGTATAATAATTAGATAAAATTAATAAATGTAATGTATGTCATAACCATTAATACCAGACACGTTGTGATGTCTTTATGTGGAAGGTGAAAGGACTATTATTGTTTTAGCATCCACAGATCTCCCACTAAGTTCTAATTCACTTTCTGTGATGGTAGATGTATATTTTGACATAATTTATTATTGAAATAATAATAATATTATATATAATATTCTATAATTAAATGCATAAATATGCAAAGAAAATATCGGATATCACACGGGAGGAATGCAGAGGCTGAACAAAAAGTATGAATAGGTTGTGAATTGGATTATATTGTAGTATTCTATCAGGGACATATAACTCTAGTATAAAATATCCTCGGAATTCATACTGAGTTATAAATATTCCATTGTTAAAATTAATCGAATTGCAAATTAATTTCTCAGAAATTGTATTATTAAAAGTAAATTTTGTTACGGTTTATTTATTGAAATTGACTGTCGATAAAGTCTGCAAATAGGCTCTAATAATAATTTACGCTATCTCGAATTACTACCTTTGGTTCAATTTTTTTTATATCACTATTGTCGTGCTTACACGGGTATTTCAAACATCCGTAGACTGCGGTGGCACTGCCACTCTCGTTGCATTAAAAAAATAGACTATACTAATTATGTCGACTTGAAAACAAAAATAAGCATCGTGATGACAATTTAATGTTGTCTTTGTTGTACAACTGCTGATGTGAAAAAGCTTTTGACGTAGTCCTAATAGTATAAATGGGCAATTATATTTTTTGTTCAATCGACGTAAGTTACGTATTACTACACGTGACCATTATGTAAATAAAATATTACTGTTGAAGATAGGTATTGACAAACAAGATCAAGAAATAAATAAAATATGACATGATACATTTTGAATCTGAAGTATGTTATTGTTGTAGTATTTTATGTAAATAAACACAAAACTAATTAATCGATATTACAGCACTAGTAATGTAATACTCGATAATGATCGTTTGGTGAGAAGCTTCATTCCTTGACTGTCTGTATGTATTGTATTTATAATACACGTCGCAAGTATTGCAAGAATAAGTTAAGCATTTCGCGAGTATGTACATGTGTTTATAAATGTTGTATATTTAAGGATATCATGAAATCGAACAAGTGAATATAGTGTAATATGTGTATTTAAGTTAATATATTTAAGAATATGCGTTAGTATGTAATTAGACGAGCTCGTAAATATGAATTTTTCTATGAGCTGCTACGTCGTTGATCACTGACTGATATATTTATATGTTTAGTTTTAAATTTTTCGTTGAGCTTGGCTCCATAATATTTACATGAAATAAATTTGGCGGACAAAATATTAGTTATCCAATTATAATGTAAATTATGAAAAATCATCTTAGCAGAGATTCAGAATTTAGTATTGGATAATAAATGTAACAGGATTTCCTGTAGTTATTTTAGCTGTATTGTAATAAGTCCTAATAAGTGGGCGTCAAATTAATTCACAGTATTTAGTTAATAAAACTTTTATAATACGTGGTAAATGGTAAGGCTTTTTATGCAATATTTTCTTTGAATTTTGGAGTTATAATTCCATGTTTCACTGTATAAATAATTCTCAGTATAATACTGAAACTAGGTATATAGATCTAAAACCACCTGCTGAATAATATAGTGATTTAATGTTTAGGTTAATTGTCTTCATTCGTCACCATTTGACGAAATTCAGTAGACTTTTTGTACAACTTAAAAACCACTTAGGTTAATAAATTTTTGCAATATCAACAGTAATGCAATATAAAGTCATGGTATAGAATACCCATAAAAATATTTTAGGGCCATGGCACAGTTTTATAATTATTCTTAAGACATTAAAAAGTTGACTGGAATAAGGCCGTCACTGAACTAATAACTTTAGTTCCTACAGTATGAAATATTCATATTATTGAATATATAGGATCATGTCTGCATTTTGGAGTAGTAATATAGGATTGATACTGAAAAAAAAAATGATCTCTTTACAATATTCCTAAGCATATACTTAATATTTTTAAATATTGTATTGATATTAAAATATAGCTGTATAAATTCCTAATCTACCGTATGTACAGATGTAGTAATGGTCTCATATATTTTATAATATATTTGTGAACACTGCTTTACTGCACAAGAAAGTGATGGATAGTATCCTCAAATTATCTGCTTTTGGGAAGCACTGCGTAAGTCGCTATGACTGGGAATATTTTCAGACGCTTGTGCTATGGTCCTGAGGTAAACTACATTTTGAAATATATAAAAAAACAAATGCAGTTACCATGACAGTAACAATGGGGTTCGTCTTGTGACTCGATAATTTATGTAAATTATGTATTTGCTGTTCAAGCACCAAGATAATGATTTTTTTAAAATTCATTAATAGCTAAATTTCTATATTCTTGAAATAATTCCGTTCAATTAGAAAATCACAAAAAATAGACTAGTGTTTAGATAGATTAAATTGACAGATTTTTTTGTCAATATTAGAAAATTTTAGTAAAACTTGAATAAAGATATCCATAAAACACTGAAAGTATGCATGACTATTCGAATTGTATTATTTTAATGGAGTATGTCTAATAAATGTCTCAAACCAAAGTGTTTTTGTCTAATTTTATATGGCCCTTAAGAGTCCTCATGTTTTTAATATTTGAAAATTTTGTAATAAAACTTTCTTTGATCTTGACAATCAACAATCAACTTTCGAATTAAAACACTAGGGTATTATTTATATTTTATGAAAATATCGTTAAACAAAAAAAAATGTTAGTAATTCTGTAATGCTGTTTCATATGTTATCTTTGGAGGGGAAATAAACGCATTGTTTTTTTAAAGAAAAATGTTATTATTACTTCATCGAGACTGTGATTAGAGCGATTTGTATACGGGTATGTATATAATAAACAGAGACGATGATGCCTCCTGGCATCATCGTCGCTGTTTATTATATACACTGTTATATGCACTGTAAGTCACAAAACTGCTCGAATCGAATACGCGACCATAGGAAGTATAGCGGTGTGCTAACCTGCTAGTCCACAGAAGTATTTTTATGTGCATGATTATAGTTATATTTCGTCGTTAGATTAAACTCTCATTTAAACGTAGCTCTTTTAGCAATTTTTTTTAATGTAAATAAAACCACAAAATAATTTCCAATTTAGTATTTATTTACATACATACTATTTACATCACATGATTAATTGTATAATAAACTAATGTGAGTACCAATACGATTCCACTGTTTACAATAATAACTGATTTTGTTTATAATCCATGTCAATTTTAGCACCGCAAGCAAGCGACTATATGTGCTTTGGACGAAGCATTGAAACTGTTTGTACTAAGTTTACAATAAATCAATAATATTTTGCGCAGATGGTCAAGAAAAGGCAAAATAATAATATATAAATTACCTGCGCGATTCTAAACGACGACGTAACACATTCCCCAATATTCAACACGACCATCAACAACAATTCCACATAAATACAAAATCAGTCTCATTTTGTTACAACATACCTTGTTCAATTGGCATACATTCTTCATTTTCAGACCAACAAATAAGTATAGACGAATACAGCATTGTTTTAAATGTGTGTGCTAGCAGATGTTGCAACTTGTCAAATACGCATTGTAATTGGGTTATAATAAAGACGTCGTAACAAGATACTTTAACGTACAGTGAACCAAGACGTTACATCTATTATCATATACATCTTTAGCATTCTACCAGTAGACTTATATTCTGGACATCGAAGTGTTTCTAATTAGATGAATTATAATGTATTAAATTAAATAATGTTTCGTAATAATTTAAGGTAATTTCAAATATAAACATAACATGGTTTCGCAGATTCGATTGTATTGTGGGCTATGCATCTATGCTGTTTTGTTGGTCTTTGCTACAATCGTAATACAATTTCACAATAAACAAATTCCGTATTACAACTAAAATTAACACTGGATGTTTAGTCATTCAACAAATGATAAACAAATCAACAAATGATATTTTATTCTCATAATAATAATTACAATATTTTATACTCAGTATACTATACTGGTTACATTTGGATTTCGGGACGAATGAAATAATCGTGCTACATTGACTAGATCTTAAATATTTTGATTAGAATAATTTATCAGCCATATTTATTTATTATATACATTTTATTTTCATAAACACAGTGTGATGTAACATTCATATGACATAGTAAATAGTTGTACCTAGACCCAGCATTAGTATACTTATCAGATGAGACCTAAGCACTAATGGCACCTAAAATACTTTAATTACATTACCTACCGATTTAGAAATAAGAAAATCAATAAAAAACAGGGATACAAATTAATTTAAAATATTTAGATTTCTAAATGCATTCTAGGAATGAAACAATTATTACTTAATTGCAATAAGAATAGCAAATTAGCAAAGCAAATTTTCAATAATCGTTATTAATTTAATTATAATTGTATTTTTATAAGAAAATCATTTAAAAACATATCAACTCCATTAATCAGTACAGTTTCGATGAGATCAATCAAAAAACATTCCTTTTTAGAAATCATTAATAGTTTCATTCTATTCAATCAATCCAATTTTTTTTCATTCAATCTATTCTCTAGCGACTACAAAATATTTGTGTTTACACTCACTCCCTAGTAACATTGCGACAATATCATAAAGTCATTTCACAATTTGTTAGAGTCACAAAATACACCACTCTGAATACTTAATATTTATACTTTGTATAGTTTAGTTAATTCTGTTGTAAAGATAATTAATTTATTTTATAATATACATTGGAATAAATTGTCATGGATGGCTAAAACACGTCATGAAATAAGCATAGGACGGACGTCACACATAAAAGCATGGTCATGATTCTGTCATTTGGCGGATTATTAATTACTTCATAAGAATGATTGTAAATGTAAATTTTATTCATTAAACTATATTTTATTATAAGATATAATGTGAATATCGATGTACAAGTGAATTAGTTACAGAATAAGGGTGGTCTTATTATATTGCGTAGTCGGAACTTATTATAAATTGGCCACTGGTATTTTTTTAATCCACTTAAAAACAATTTGATTATATTAGTTTGTTTCATAGGCTGGTGAATGTTATGTTATAATACTACATACAATGTTTATAACAGAGAGAGACATACAGTTTTGTAAAATGTGATCTTATAAGACTTAAATATTTAAAATATGTATTAGATAAAATCGACATCGGACTCTTCGAGACCGCTAGAAAGAGCAGTTCCTTCAAGTTCTACAATATTTACAAAATATGGCATTTAACGGAACGGTTATAGCAAAGACAGTATACATTAAAATGAGCATCTTCCCTTACGAAGATAGACTAACATACTTTCAAATTTACATATAATTGTTTTGGTCATAAGATCCAATTAGTATATTAGGCCCCGGCTAACATATTTACGTAAAAATGGAAAAGATGAAGACAAACAGTTTAGGGATTTGCTGTACATCGTGAAAGCAGATTAGGCGGTGGTATGTAGCGGTTGCGGGCCGAGTGCGGGCGGCGCGGGCGGCGGAGGCGGCGAGGCAAGCAGGAACGCGAGCCGCTCAAGACGGCGCTGCAGCGCTGCCACGCGCGGCCAGTCGGGCAGCGCGGCCAGCGCGGTCAGCGCTGCATCCAGCGCTTCGTAGCGCTGCCGGCGCGAGCTCTCACTGCACGACCGCAGTTCCTATATGATATCGTTGAATAAATAACACTTTGCCATAGGGCGTCATCTAGTTCCTAACTAAGGCTTTGTGCTAGAGGCACCTAGAAAATTACTATTTCTTAAATATGAAATTATTTATTCTAACAAATTTTCTACTGTTCGTACACACTATTATAGACAATAATAAATACACACAAATAAATAAAATTAAAATGCCAGTTTGTAACTTGAAGTTAACAGCTTTTCGCTAAATGCATACTAAAATATACATAAACATATTTATATATTAATTTTTATACGGCACATATAAAAATTAATTTATATTTTTTTGTCTGTTCTTGCAAATCTCTAAAAAAGCTAAACCGATATTATCCACTATAGATAATATCGGTCTAACTTATTCTTTCTCTCTCCCTGTCTCCACGATAACGAACGTTTAACCGCGACGGTTAACCATTTAAATAAATATTACTCACCTCTTCAACAAATTCTAAATCATCCTCTTCACCGGATTGTGCCAGCTGATTTTTGAGCGTCTATAAAATATAAAGAATTTCTTATTTATTACTCCTTATTTTATTCATCGATAATTATAATATATAAATAAAGTTCATGTAAAGTTCGTTTAAGCCATATTTAGCAAATTTTAAATTATACAAGTGGGCTAAATTTTTATTACTATAATTTCAAATAAAATTAAACTTTAAAGCGTTGCCATTACACTTTCAATATACAAGTAAATATAATATAATAATTTTATAATTATCTAACAAACAACCGTGTTGTTGGAACTAGACATATCAATATTATTCAAAAGCAAAGTAGCTAAAAAAATTTAATTATTTAATCAACGGTAGGCCTATACTTTGTATAATCAGTATAAATTACAATGTAAAATTGGTAAATGTAATAAAAATACTGACCAGTCTGATTTATAGGATACACAAATTATATTACTATAATATATAAATCAATATACAAATCATATTAGACAGCATAAGCTATATCGTACTATTTGCTTATTTTCTGCACTAAAAGGATATACCAAGATCATGTAATAAATAATGCGCCCATTAATAAAATCCATATAATATAAATATATACAAATAACAAAGTAGACTTGTCAGTGATTAGTTATTTACATGGTGCTGCAACGTCACGAGTCAATGCAAGCCTTAGAAGCGACTCTATATGTCGGGATGTTCTCTCCTTTAGTAGATAATATATTACATACCAATACAAATAAAATAAACTACTTTCGTTTAAAACTTATGGATGCTATGCATTCGAGTCCGTGTTGTGAGACAACAAAAACACTTGACAAAAGAAAGTTTAGTGAATCTTTAGAAATGCCAATTTGTTTTTTCTTATTTTATAAAAGAAGCTGACAAACTCCATAATAAATAGAGATATGATAATTGATAAGGATTCGTAGAATATAAATTGCATATTAAATTTAACTAACGTGAAATTCATTGTTTCCTTTCATCACAAGTAATTGATTCCACAATATATGTTTACTTAGGTGCCAAAATGCCAGTAAAGTGCAACCGTTATATCCAGTGTTGCCAGATGACCTTTCCTTCTTTGATGATGTCCTAGTTTCCCTTCCATTTATATCTAAAATTTAGGTTTGAAGAAATATCACTCAATGAAGAATATTCGCATTAGTGGTGATTATTTGTCCATTATAAAATGTTCCTATTTTTTTGTATTGCATCTTGTGTGTTCATGTATTTGGTAACAATGTACCACGATTCCGCGTTTCTAATGTTATTATTTATTTAGGCCTGCATTACAGTCAACAACTTACACTTCATATCTTGAATTTATATAGCCACAAAGTGCCCCATAATTTAGGGAGAAAACCCCCAATCTGGCATCAAAGGATATATTTATGAACTAAAGGGTGACATTATTGGCAACGTGAGTTGCCATTTCATGTATTAAAACGGAATGTGAGAAAAATAGAATTTTAAAATGTGCTTACATTGCTATTAATGCTATCATGTAAAGTGAAAATGTGTGAAGTATTGTGAATACAGTGGAATTTAAGAGCTTTGAACTTAATTGTATATTTTTTATGTTTCTATAAAAATTAAGAATGTTTCTTCAAACTTCTATATACACAATTATAATTTAGTTGGGGGTTTTTCATGAAAACTATCCTTCATTTTAGATATTTCTATTTTATATTGAATTCTATGAATATTATTTTATTACCGTTGCAAGTGAATAATCTATGGGACACAGTCTAATGCCTAGTAAGACAAATCCAATATTGTCTACTAAGCATTATTAAATGCAATTATTATTTTGATGTATCTAGGTAACTGTGGCCCATAATTACTATTTACGTTTGCCTTAAAACACATTAGTTAATAAGAGTAAACTGCTTGATACTATTTACTATTCGGACAATAACCAAATATTTGGAAAGGAAGTTGTTATAAATTTCGAATTTTTGATGGACACATAATTATTATAATTTATGAATTAATTATTAAGGAGAGAACATACGAGGTGGGTGCACTAAAAGCAGTGGTAATGCAACATCTTGACTATTAACCTTGGTATTTTATTCTTGACTCGAGATCGCCAGCCAGGGCCTGAATGGTGTAAATACCTGTTTCATATTAAAACAGTTAACGGCACTAACAGAACTTCTAAATATTATGTAGTGTAGTTCCCTATGTATTTATAATAAATAGGTATAAGATATACCTTACTATGGAACTTATAACTTACAGCACAACTAAAGCTTGTGTCACATAGATCAAAATAGTGTACGTATAAAATTGAAATATTTTTAGAACAGCATATTTGCAAGCAATTTAATTTTTAACCTACATTAAATTGGTCTGTGGATTAAATTTTTCTAGGCGCTATATGATCTATCATCTGTTTATTATTTATCGGGACAAGAGTTAAAAGCATCTATTTATTATATTTTAAATTAAATATAATACAGTTAGTTATAAATATTGTTTTAAATTTAAATATAGTTTTTTTTAATTTATGTCTTTCTTGTCTTGTATCTCTCAAATTTAGTGGATGCAAATTTTTAACAAGGAGGAAGGTACATATACGTAATTAATTTAAAATATGTTAATACCTAGTTTGTTAACACCGAGACTAACAATTTGTTGTTAGGAATGGAGAAAGGAAGTCTGTTTGTCTGATGAATATAAAATAAGTTATTGAAGAATTTAAAGACTTATCTTTAAATTCTTATATAATTAAGTAGAGGAGTAAAGTTCTTTTGGATCATATGATTCGAAAGAGTAGTGTGACTAGTATGATTCAAGTGAAATACATTAAATATAAAACGTAAGTATATATTATAATATGAATAAAGCCAATGCTATCACTAGTGTTATGATGAATAAATACAAATAAAAATATAGTTGGTGTTCCCTGTTTATCATAATTATTCTTAACATTATAATTATATTCACAATAAACATAATAATTTGACTGCCTTGACGGTTTAGCGATTTAGTTTAGTACACCTTATCCTGACAACCTTATTTCCGATGGTAGCGGATTTGATTCCTCGGACATTGTAAACATTTGTATGCATGAGTATGATTCTTCGTATTAATCTGGACGTTTTCCATTGATTATATTACATAACATACATGTATAAGCTAATTTATTGTAGTTTCAAAAAAAATCATTCAGTAGTTTTTGCGTGAAAGAGTAATAAACATCCATCCATTCATTCACACTCACAAAATTGCACGTTTATAATATTAGTAATATACAAAAAAAAATTAAATGTAATGAAGTAGTACTTCTAATTGTTTAATATCTATTATATAGGCCCTGTTCAGATTTATTGATTTGTTGTTATATTTATATTATAAAATGCAACATGGTTAGGACTCACTTCGATGGATTGCCTGTACTGCTCCATCATATTCTTACTGGCCTCGAGCTCTGCTAGTTTCTTCACTACCACGTCCGCGACGTTCTTTTCTGTTACATCTATCTTGTCTCTGGAAATATAAACAAAATATTTATGTTTTTCATATAATTATTTCGAAAAAAAGAAAATGTGTTTGTTATGTTTACCTTTACTACCCCCATTCGTTTTGGTGTTACGTAGCGAAGTTTAAGACTACCCCTCCGCCCCCCGCCCCCCACCAAAAATCAACTGTATTTTTTAGTATCTACCAAAAGTGTTGAAATTTGTAGAATATTATCTTTAAATACCTTATATTCTAATTTTATTCTACAAAATTCAAGGTATACACTACACGCCGTTCTTCGGTTTATAAATCTTAAAAATACCCATGATAACTTACCATAACCCACTTGTGATATTTCGTGATTATTCCCCCCTATCGAAGCTCAGGTGATTAATGAACTCCCCCATAAGGCTAGTTAACATATGCGGCTACTCACTTGAGTGCGGCGGCGAGTCCGGCGGCGGGTGCAGCGCTGCACGCGCTGGATGCAGCGGCGGCTCGTAGCGCGCGCAGCAGGTCAGCGAAGCGGTCGTCGAGCGCCATCACGCGCGACAGTAGTGCACCACGCTCCGCATCTTCTGCTTCGGACCGCTGCCGCTGCACGATGGCGGCCGACAGCTGACGCAGCGACTCGCGCTCCACGCACCACTCGCCATCCTCTGTACACGTCATCCCCCATACCCGTTATATCGTGTCTTGCAGAACACACATACTCGTTATTACTTTATTGGCTAACGTGTGCTAGTGCCATTAAGAATAATGAATTAAGAAATACACCGCCTATGAGTACCTATTAATATATATTTTGATAACTAAAATGGCAATGTGTGCAAATTGTGTATACATTATTATTGTAAATTGTGTTTATTCATTGTCGGTGTATTATTTTATTTTATATAAGTATACAGAGCATACTATAATATTACAAAATAAAAACAATTCAAGAAATCATAATAATAAAATAATTACAATCACAAGGAATATGTAAAATATTTTTATATATTCCTTGTGTCTTTAAATTCATAGAAATTATATGTAATGCTTCTTTATGTGCACTACTACTTATAAAACCTGTATGAGAGTTAATAAAAGTGTCAGTTTCTATGGTTATAAATCAATTTTCATATAGGGTAGCCTTATTAGAAAAATGTTCATAATATTAATAAGTAATCAGCAAATCGACAATTACCTCTATCGTCGTCACATGACTCCCGCTCGGGCGACAGTTCCTCGCCACTCCACGCGCCCGCTCCTTCCGCTCCCGACCACCATTCCTCTGCGTATTCTGTAAATATATAATGCACAGTGGTCTAACTAGTAGCCTCACCTCCTAATGGACAAGGGTTCGCACTCTGATGAAAGATGATAATCATCTCTGCGTAATACAAACATTTAATTAATGAGTGAGACTGTTAGAATGGCTTGAGTGGTTTTTATGTGTAGATTGTATATTAATTTCCAAAATCAAATTTATTTAACTTGTACATTAGTTATCTTAAGGTTTAAATAATTTAGGACTGACATCTCGGTCCAAAAATTATTGTCCAAGATTTGACTGTTTCTCCGCTTACTACATTTAAAGTACTCAATTGATTTTCATATAGGTTTTATTGTCACAGATACAATTTTTACAGAAGGCATCATTCTATACGTACCAGGATCGGTGACCAGGCAAGGCTCCGTCTCAGAGTCGAGCAGGTCGGCGGAGTTGTCATTGTCATCGGAGAACCTAGAGCGGTCGTCATCAGTCGGAGGAGCGCGCGGGCCGGGGGCATCGAGAGGGTCCGTGGAGGCGACGTGAGGTTCCGCGGCGGCGACGTTGGGGTCCGCGGGGGCGACATGGGGGTCCGCGGGGAGAGGCGCAAAGGGCGGAGCGGCCCGTAGTGCGCGGGACACCGCCGCCACCAGCCCCCCACGGGACTCCTCCTCGGGGGACAGCGCTTCGCCACTATCGCTGCGGCTGTACCACACCATAACATCGTTAGCATTTATTCTAAATTCAAGTTGTCTTATTATATTGGTTTATTGCATTATTTTGTTTGTCCTTTTCTTTTATACGTTTCACAATATTAATTACTGCAAAATTTATTATTAATTGTAGTCAAGTAGTTGACTAGGAAACTAAAATAATATGCAATCAATAAAGAAGAGTATGTACTGGATTTAAAAAAATAATGTTTCAAATGTAACGGGCTCGCAAATAAGGATTATTACTTTTGAAGGCTATCCTTATAAAATCAAAATAATATTTGTGGGAAATTTTACAGATTGCTACATAGACTCAATGTTAGTCCAAGTTTCATAAGGGCGCATCTCTTACATTATTGTATTCGAAATACAAATTATAAAATTACTTATATTATAAATTTGTAAATCAAGTTATAAAATGACTCGTAGTTCAAATTCGAAAATCTCATCATTTGAATTTAGAATATGAGTATATTCTAAATTCAAACGATGAGTATATCTCGGCGGCTACCTGTAGACGTCGTTGTGGTAGACCGTGGGCTCGAGCGCGTCCTTGGGCAGCAGGTAGGCGGCGCGCACGGCGGCGGTGAGCGCGCGCAGGCGGCGGCCGAGCGCGTCGAGGGCGGGGCCCGCGCCCGCGCCCGCGCCCGCCGCGCCGCCCGCCGCCCGCGCCGCCGCCTGCGCCGCGCGCGCCTCCTGCCGCAGCCGCTCGCACACGCGCACCAGCTGACGGCACTCGCTGCGGCTGCACCGACAACACCTCACGTTCAGTACACGCCACCATTTATTTGGAGAGATTAATGACGGTGTCAAAAGGTACAAAAAGTGTAATGCGTTAACAAAATTGATATTCTAAGGTAATTAAAATTGTATAACGACATACATATATATATATATATATACAAACGCTAGCCGTCATGTTCTCCAAAACATACATACAAAAAAAAGTAATGTGATAAGAAAATTTATATCATACTAGTAATATATATAGACCACAGGTCTGTTAATGCTTTACCATCTAAAAGGTACAACATTGACATTCTAAGTTAATTAAAATTGTGCAACGACAAACTATAACAAACGCCAGGTGTGATGTTTTTTGATGATTGCAAAATTGTTAAGTTATAATACAATACATTCGAAAAACTAGAACCACGCGGCTTAGACTATCCTAATTTTGTATCCCGTCGGTGTTTCGGTTGGGTTCGGTGTAGCCATTGGAGGTGCCGGTGTGAGGGCCTCAAGAAGCGTCTAATTGAGTTTATTGAACGGTAGACGGTAGTCGTCGACGGTGACGGGCGTATGATAGGATGGACCGGGAGGGATCGTAGAGAGGTTACTATCGTTATGAGATCAGTAAGAACGTTTCTCCTGTACCTGCGGTCCCTTTCCTGCGTAAGGCGCGCAAGTTCCGCGTCAGCATCACGGAGTGAGTGCGCGAGTGCGGCTGCCTCGGCTGCTAGGAACTCGTGCATCTCTGCCGCCTCGCGCTCCGCCTCCGAGCGCGCACTCTCCGCCGCTCGAGCCGCCTCCCGCGCCGCTCGGGCCTCCTATGTTTAAGCATACTTTAAAACAAACGTCTAAAAAAGAGGACTAATTCAATAGTATTGTTATTATGTTTGTAATCTCAGTGCACACAAATGAAATGTCTTTTTAGTCTATCATAATCTTATAACTGTTCAAGAGTATATCTTTACATAATATAAAACAAATTCACCGCCGCAGTACTGTTATTAGTAGATAGTTACTCTATTGCTAAACTAAAACAAGAGAAAGGTAATCAATATATATGTATAATATATGCGCGTTATAGTATAGAACAAGCCGAGAAATTAACAAATGTATAATAAATCCGTGCAAAGTCGGGACGAGTCGATAGTTTTTAGACTTTAACTGTATCTCATATAAGTACATTTGACATTAAACAAGATTCAGAGAAAACTTCTATGTACATATTGCTTTAAGGATCAATATATTTACAACAAGCGGTTAAAATTAATAACAATAGCAAACAGATTGCATGTATATCGGAATTTTAGTAATTGTTTGCGTGCCTATATGATTTATAATTTGTATTATTCAAGTTTGTTTTAATTATAAATCGTGATAAATGTATTCGTTAATTATTGAATATTAGAATAATAGGCTAGTAAGTTTATAATTACGTCATTTTAATCATAACAAACATATCGATACATACAATAAATTGGATGACGTAATATATACTTTTAGCAATGGAACAAATAGTTTAAACGCATCAATCAAACAAACTGAACATGAATAATATTTGATACTCTTTGTGTAGTACAAAACTAGTTAGTATGATACATAATGTAATGAAACGAAACATATATACCTAGTTTTTTTTATGAAATTTGAAATATGTACTAGTTAAGAAGAAGGTGACACTTACCGTGTGCAGTGAGTCGCAGCGAGCTCGCAGTGCGTCGCAGTCGGCCCGCTGCCGCGCGGCCAGCTCGCGCGCCGCCCGCAGCTGCTCCTCCAGCGCACGCAGACAACCCTCAGCGCCCGCTTCCGCCCCTAGTATATAAATAATAATATTGTTTAAAGTATTCTATATGCCGTACACAAGTGGACCTTATAGAGCACGATAAAAGGATCTACAAAACTAGTCAAGACTGCAGAAAGAGAAGCAAGTTTATGGCTGTCTGAAGGCGAATTCTCGTCTGACGAATATGACTTTAGACTGAGGGTATCCGTTCTACTGGAGTGTGCAACCTTTTACGTGACAAGATATTGATTGGAAGGTGAGATTGGTCATCTCTATCCTATGTCTTAGTGATATCTACGACATCACATGTAACATGATGCTACAATAAGCTACAGTTACCACATACCATCAAGTGCGCCGTCAACTTGTTTTTATTCCAAATACATAAAAAAATGCACAGAGTACTAATGTAAGCGTAAACAACCACTATCTCAATTTGAGGTGATGTATAATACTACACATACCAGCTCCGGCGAGCTCGAGCAGCCGCTGCGAATTCCGCTCGAGGTCTGCGAGTGCGGCGAGGCGTGCAGCACGCTCTTGTGCGAGCTGCGCGTCGGCGTGCTGTCGCCGCTCGCGCTCAGCCGCCGCAGCCGCGTCCGCTGCAGCCGCTGCCGCTGTTAGCCGCGCCATCTCCGCATCACGGGCACTAGCTTGCACGCCGCGGTGGCACCGGGTCACCTCCGCGCGCCTGCAGGCAACCATCGTTATATAATCTCTAAATATATTCTCGCCGTTATATTCGTGAACTTACATTCTGTAATTAAATAGGTTTTATAAATACATGTAGAGCTCCTACATCAAGTTTCATATATGAATATATATATAAGGAAAATATAACAGGGCGAACGTTATAAAAAACTTGTATTATTTGCTAGACCACACACTGACAAAATATGACAAATTAAGCACTCTTAAAAAAGATCTAAAACGTCATCAATTAAAATACATGTTCTAGAAAATATATTTACGATAAACTTAATATAACATATTACTTTTTTAACTTAACTTTATTAATTTTCATATTATGTAGTACATTTAACTTTAAATTCATATAGATATTCACATTATTTTAGGGCATTATGACATCATTTTAAGCCACATTTGACTAATAAACAATAACTTACGTCTCAATATTAGGCATGACGCCCGCCAGCGCTGATTCCACATCACTGCCTATAAGTACTGTCTGGCATGTCTTTTCAGCATATATTCGCACTCTTGTTTTTATAGTAGACCGGGATGAAGACGATCGCACTATTGTAGGTCTTCTAGATGAAGGTGGTGTGCTTTCGTGTTTGGGTGAGTTATCAGTTTCTGCATCTCGTCTCCTACGTGGTAAAGTTCCATATTTATCGGCAGCAATACGAGTCGCACTCGCATCTGCAGAAGTTGCTACTAATCGTGGTCCATTTGCTGGCCAGCGTTTTTCTTCACTCGGAGAATTAGGAGTTCGGCATCGAGCAGTCGACGTTTTGGTGGGCTTTGCTCGCAAAGCGGGACTTTCGCGGACGAGATTTGGCAAATCACCGGTAGGACGGATTCGTGGTTTCGGTGTCAAGGGACGAGGCTTTTCGGGTGGAGTTGGTTTCTCTCGACTTCTTGCACGTTCACGAGTCGCTAAATTGGGACCACGCGGTGCAGTAACCGGGCGAGGTGTAGACGTTCCAATTGGAGAACTACGTTTCGGCTCCGTTACGGTTACATTAACACGACGACGGGGACGAGGTGGAGCTCCGGCTAATGACGAGCTTTCAGAACCACAGCCCGAACCGCAGGAGACCACACTTGAAGCACATGATCGTGATCCGCCACCGCTGCTAAGTGCTCGCCCACAGCCTTCCACTCCGCTATCACTGCCAGCAGCGTTCAGAGCGAGCTCGTCGCCGGCCGGCAAACTATCTAAGTCACCTATAGACCGGGCATCATCATTTACTTCACAAGTTTCATGCTCGCCAAAAGTCTCCTTTAAGTCCGTCACTGTGTTTTTACTATCTTCCAAACCATCAAGGATCACGCCACTCTCTTCTTTAATTAAACTGTGCTCGTTGTCGAGATCATTAGACGTGACTGTAGATATTGATATCTCATCTTGTTCCACCGCTACGATTGGTACATCTTCATTAGTAAGCTGTTTATTGGATGGCGAGTCGTGGACCTCACCGACACATGTTGTATTTTCCTGTGCCATTGCGTTGTTTGTCACATGTTCTGAAAATAGAGAAACAATAGCTGAGTGAAAATGTTTAGTTATAAACAACAATTGTTTGGTAGTGAACAATTGGCTCTATATAGTATTGTATCAGAATAATATTTAACATTTATTGTGCTATCGTATCTTGCCGCGGCACTTGGTTGTCTCAAGAGAGCTTACAGCTATTGTCACAGGCTATTGTTCAGGATAAATTATAATTCTATACGATACAATTCTAAATCGTTCTTAATAAAATTATTTTTACAATCCACTCTGCAAGTTGCAAATGTAAAATTGTTGTAATAATTTAAAACAACATTACCATTGGAAAATAGAAATCTCTCAGGTTTTATTTACAGAAGTACTGCATTTTATACGGCAAAAACTAATACGTACATTGTTGAATAGTGAAACTAGTAACAATGAGCAAAACCTACAGACATATTGCAATGGAACGTTGCCCCATGAAGCGGAGATCAGTACAAAGCCTCGTTCCCAGGCTACGAGACCTTCTGCAATCGGCCTCGCTTTAGCTATTCTTGTCGTAAATAAACGTTTATCTTTATAATATAAATAAAATTATATTCACCTTTTAAAAACTATGTTGATAACACGAAGAAATTAAATTATGATTACATTGTTTCATTTGACCAAAAGACCAAATACAGGTTTGTGTTTATAATATCCTCATTATCACGCCATTCGATAACAACTGATAGACAAATTGAAATAGAGGTAGCATTCGATAAGCTATCTCTACGAGTACATGTCGCATTTATACGAGTATATGAGAAAGTACAGTTGATCAAATGACTACCTACATGAAATTACAAACACATTGATTGATAGAATACAGAACGCTCGGCAGGGATCCGCGGGGTCATCGTTCGGCAATTTGCTGGGGGCATATTAACCGATTTATTCGTATGTGGGTTTGGTACTATGAGTAGCGTTTATGAAGGCACACTACTTAATTTTGTCGAGGTACTGAGCTGCGACGCCTGCGACGCGCCGTCTGCGCACCCACTTCGTTGCGTATTAATCAAGTCTGTTTATTTTTACCGGCATTACATTATAACGATGCGGTATTAGCCGGCCATAAATTAAACAAGTTAGAAGGACCACGGCGAAATCTTATGTGACCTCAAGATACTTGTCAATTTCAGTATGGTAACATATACTATTAAGGTAGAAAAAAATAATCAGACAATATTACTTAAATTTTATTACATTTATTAGGCACACGCACAGAAGATATAGTTCGCTAAAGTTTTGATGACATTTAAAAGAAAAAAGAACATTTCTTTATGTTAGTATTCAGAGCGAACATGAACCGGTAGAAAATCCTAGGCATGCTTTGGCATAAACATGAGTTTTTATTGTAAAGAAAACAGATGCCAGTTCTACATACTAATTTACGAGACATTTCACCACTCTTATTGTTAAAAGTTTCGAATGGGCATATTGTAACTGTAAAAGTTGATCAAGGTTATCGTGTACGCGTTATTAATATTTGCGCGTTTATTTTAGCATCATGAACGATGACACACATGAAACAACGAAGTTGTTATACCTCCGATTACGTCTTTCTCTATTACGTTTCAATCGTTTCATCCAGTTTATTATAATAACATTACTAAACTAATTGTGTTACTGATTGATTGCTACTTAAAGCGCGTTCAACATTTCACAAAGTAGACAGACAACTAGTAAGGATTAGGACTGGCAGAACATAGTTACAATTGGCGTGCGTCCAATAGTATGAACTGCACCGTACATTCAAGCACTATAGTGCAATTTGTATGACAACTAATATCTATAGATCCCACGATAGCCATAGATTGAAAGTTTTAATTATAGCTTTGGTTTACCATAAATTCTGAACTTATTTCTAAAGTTAGTGCATTTAGACTTAGTTGCCAATTATCCAAAAAGAGATCATGTATATGTATCATAGACCGACCTAATTTAATCATAGTTCTTAACGAATGGCGAATATACAGATGTATGTACGTACATAGTTAATACGATCAAAAACATATTATTACCAAGATAAAGATTTTTCACATGACGTAGAATTAGATATAATACCTAAAATAGCTTACGATGTACAGTATCTCTAATAGTACTTAGTGTAATTAATGTATTATCAATAGAAAGCAAAAGGCAATGTAAATGGAAAAATATATTTTAATATCTGTATAAAGATAAGTTAAGGCTATTATTTTGATGAATCTATTTGGTGATTATTGTATTGGACTACTCAAATAGTGCATTTTCTTTCATAAATTTTAAATTAATATGTATTAAATTTTGTATGTAAATTTTAACCTACTTTCTATTAAGATCGACAATTTTTGTTAATACCTGAGTAGTTTCAATGATAATACCATCGTAACAACTACAAAGAATAGACAAGTATAATGTATAAATTAATGTACTTTTATCTAGAGTGAATAAACGAAATATATTTCGTGATATATTAAATGGTCACAAGGTATGCAAATAATCTGCAAGTAAATAATACATTCTTTACTTTATTTTTTGTGATACTGCAATAAATAAATAAACTATGTGCTTATCAAAATTACCATACTAATTTTTGTTCTCACTCTATGCGCCTAAGTATGTTTATTAATATATTTTAACTTGCCTACCACAACAGTCTCTAGGTTGTAGAGCCTGATGTTCTGACGGTAACGGGTTCAATTCCTTCATAATACAGACTGAAATATCTGTATGTCTGAAACTATTCATTATCAGTAGTGCTTTACAAAAAAAAACGTATTTCCATTATTTAGTGCCTAATTTACGGACTACACCTAGATGTATTATTGAAGTTCATTTACAAATTTGTTATTATGTTATATATTCTAAAAACCGGCACAAATAAATATAAGTATAAAAATAATTTACTATTCCTGCCCCTTTTTACAGCGAAAACGGTAGATTATTTACTGGTGGTAGTATAAATATTTACGTGTTCCATTTTTAGATGTTAAACATACATGGGGATATTGAGGGAAACTGGTTAACTACCTGAAATGGTCGAAAGGAATGATAAAAAATAATCTTCAGTAGTGCTGTTGTGGATTCTTTGTTGCATATTTGAAACCAATAGATTTTATACCCGTGTTGATCCTATACAAGTTTCTTTACAATTATAATACTTTTTTAAACAACTAACAAACGCCCTGATGACCTGGCTCTCTCATATACATAGGATATTAGAGAATCAGTACTAGGTTCAGTCCACATATCTATAACTATATCTCCGATCTATATTTTGAATCACTAAATAATTGTTTGCGTCTATCGGTTTATTTGCTTGTAACAATGCATCGAATTTTGATTCACGATTTACATTTTTATGCATAGATATATATAGATATATAGAGTACTTCTTCATATTACATAGGTATATTCAATAAGTATGTATTTTAATGCGAAAAGTAAATGTTGAAATGTATAATAATATTTTATTCTAATAATTCAGCGGTTTCATAGAAAAGAATAATCACTAAAACGATGAAACATTTGACTAAACAAGAGGATGTTAAACGCATCACATAAGTACTTTTAAGCAAGTACCGTGGTAAGGTCGTTTCTCCATTGCTGACAAGTTCGTGACGGGTTTCAGAGAATTGTTATCACACAAATTATTAGTATCTAACGTATACACAACCGAATATTGGGAAGATAGAATTTTATTATGATGACCTAGTGTTATTTGGCACACCGCATATTATAGGTAGCAAATTCAATCTCCACACAAATAAAATAATCATATTCCTGATTATATCTAGTTGTAGTTTTATATTTATTTACAAAAAAGTATTTAGTAAGTTGCATAGTATCTACCAATACTTCATAGAGGCTTCGCTTAATTTGTATGTAGAAAGTGGTAGGTGTCCAGATTTATTCTATTACCATATAATATTTTATTACCTGTTAGGCCGAATATAATGCGTGTCAAATTGTTATTTCGGAACAAATTCATTAGCAAGTCGTTTTAACTTACCCAATAACTAAGCAACATTTTGCGTGTGTACTTGTTTATATATGGACCCAAATATAATTCTTACTGCGTAGTAAATATTTAATTGACTCACCTACAAGTTTGCGTGATACAAAAATGAATAAAAACTCCAGACTTCACTGTAAAAAAAAGCTGTTCTCGGCGAAGATTTATCGTTACAGTACGTCATTTCTCAATTTAGATCAGAAGATAGCTTAAACGAGACTAGTCCGGACCTTTTGTGGCAAAAAATTTAATGTTCACGTTGTTTTTTCTTATTGAACATGTTACATTTAGTGTTGTGTGTGGCACTGTTGTAAGTACCTGCTTTAAGACAAAGAAGCAAAAAAAAAATGAAAATTGCCTACTTTACATTTGGCAATACTATTTATTTTTGTATTAGATATTAGCTAATCTAATAGAAAAGCAAACACTTGAAAATGTAAAGTGAAACTAAAAGTGTGGTTAGCGTTCTCTTTGGATGTTACAGTGACTTGCTTCATATCGTTTAAATAAAAGGCAGAATATATATATAGCTTATATATAAAACTAGCTACTCGCCGCGGCTTTGCACGGGTGTACATGAATTATATATATAAATCTTCCTCTTAAATCACTTTATCTATAAAAAACTTCTAAATACGTTGTGTAGATTTAAAAATTTAAGCATTCATAGGGACAGATAGCGACAGCGACTTTGTTTTATTGTATACTATGTAATAAAGATTACATAGAAAAATTACAGTCACTGTCTTTTATATTAATATGAAAAAATAAAAATAAACCCATCCATAATTTGAAGTTTTCGTTTTTCAGATGTTTAAATAATGAGGCAGTATTTATAATTAGTGCATGTTGTTGCACTGCGTTTGAATAAAACAAATTTCGGTAGTTCGACGGCCGCCGGATGTGTTATTTGCCAAGACTATGTTTATTAAGACTAATTTTGTAAATAGGTAGGTATTAATTGAACAATTTGTTAGTTATTATTATTACCTA